CCCTACTTCAAGATAAAAGTGTTCAATGGTGATTTCTGCACACTCCAGGATGAATACTGACAGTCCACAATGAAGCTCAGTTTATCATCAACATCTGATGGATCCACTGTGTTGGCGAAACAATATTGTTATGTTTCAACTAAATTATATTGAAAATCAGAAAAACTACTCAGTTTTATTTGTATTATGTATTTGGATTTTCATTAAATATCGTTCTTATCGATTATGATTAATATATTCAATCAATTTATCTTTCTCACTAACTCTTTTCAGATAATTTCACCGATAAAATGAGCAATAAAAATTACTACCAGAAGTAAGATAATTCGTGTACCAAAATAAAAATATAGGCTTGCTAGGAGAAAATCTTTCGAAGAATATTCTGGCCATGCTTTAAAGCAGGCAGGACTATCAAATCTGTTTTTGCACATTTAAGTCAGATGCTTCACCATTCAAAACTCCGATGAAACTTTTACGTGAGCCGACTGAAGAACTAGTACTTCTTTTCAGTGGGTGGAAAGCAAGCAATTTCTCAGTAATAGTTACCTCTTTATCAAAACCTCGAATAAATATAGCCAGTTGATCTGTGTCAGATAAATTGGAAATGTTTTAAATGAAACTGCTAATTTTGAACTAACTATAAAACTAGCTTTCACAACAATATCAAGATATATTCTTTCCTTATAAAACATTTGCTGCTATTTTCCCAAAGTTTTATCTTGCACAATGATGAGCGTATCTGATTGTTGTGTAATGAATTCATGTCAGTGATAAAAGAATTCAGAATAAAGAGTTATCAATCCACTGAGCGTCCTACGCTGCTCTCACTGTCCAGACAAATAAGAAAAGATAAAATCCAGAAGCTCACCGCAAATATGACCAAGTACCATATTATTGTGAAGTCAGATTTTACGAGTTCAGGAATGAGATAGCTGACTTTATCCAAATGAAAAATAATCCTTTATCTGGATTGAATGACCTAAATTGTATAAGTGACTTAGCAATTTTAGTCGATCTTACAGGTCATTTGAATTATTCTAATTCGAAACAGAAAAACAAGGACAATTAGCAAAGGATTTGTACGTCCATTTGTAAGCGTTTCAGAACAAAATCCGCTAGTGGGAGATACATATACTGTCCGGTAACAGTTTCTATTTCACCACTCCCTACGCATGAAAATATACTGAAAAACTCATGTTACTGTTGGAACAATTGTCGAACAGATTCAGTGATTTCAAAAACATGGAAGACTCGCAAGAAAATTCGCAAAAAGATTAATTTGTTCTTTTGGTAGTAGATATAAGACAAAGGGTCTTCGTTTCTGCTGGAAACAGTGAATACCTGTCTTCAGAGAAGCTTATCGACTTAGGCGTGCCACAAGGCAGTATCTTGGGACCATTGCTTTTTGTTATTTTCATTAATGACCTCGCTAACATTTTCTTTTCTTACTCTATTAGGCCCTTGTTGTTTGCAAACGATGAAGACATCATCATATCTGCAATGAACATTTCGAATGGTATAAGTGAATTTAAGGATGCCATGGATAGAGTAAACGAATGGTGTATAGAACATCAGCTTGTGCTTAATAATGATAAGACCCAATGTTTTATTTTCAAAACTGACAGAGCAAACAGTAACTATCCAGAAAGCATAGCCTATTGTAATGCTGAAGTACCAATCAGTGAAACTTTTAAATTTCTGGGAGTTTATATAGAGAGTTTCATGAAATATTACAGCCATGTCGAAGAAATTAATAATAAATTGAAATTGGTTATTAATGCGTTGAGGGTGCTCAGAGATCAGGTTGCTGTAGCTGTATTAAAAACGGTGTATTATGCTATGTTCCAGTCACTATTGAGTTATGGTATCATTTTTTGGGGAACCAGTTCGGAGTCTCGTCAGATTATGAGAACGGAAAAGTTAGCCTTGAGATCTTTATTCCGTCTAGGTTTCAGGGAATCGTGTCGAGGGTTTTTCAGGAGAAATGACATTTTAACAGTTTATGGATTGTACATCTATAAAATTCTGATGTTTATGCATAAAAACAAGCATTATTTCGGTAGATATTCAAATGTAAATAACACAAGAAGAATACATCCATTCATTTTTCCGATTCATTCTCTGTCTCTAACTGAAAAAGGCCCGATGTATATGGGCATTAAACTGTTCAACAGTTTACCAGTAAACATACAAAAGTTGCATTGTCATTCATCTTTCGGGAAGTCTCTTCATCGTTTTCTTGTACAGCTTGAGCCATACAATATTGAAGAATTTTATGCTCCATGTAGTGACAGTGTAGTCAATATTTGAAATTTTGTTTTCCTTTTCTTGTATTGTTTCGGAATGACCTGTTTTCGTTTGTACTCCGTATATTTGGAAAATCAATAAATTTTTAATATTATTATTATTATTATTATTATAGAGGCGAACAGTTCTTTTCATTGATGAAAGTAAATAGATTCAAACTGCTTACATGGCTGACTGACGATAATTTGGAAATTTTGTCACGTCTTTGTATCAGTGGAATTAATCCAAACATCGATGGGTTAGTTTCCCAAATTCAAGCTCAAGTGTCTCATAGATTTCGGTGTCGCCATATTTAAATATCGTTGTTCGTAATAATTCCAAATATAACGATTCAATTATAATGTTGTTACCTATTTTTTTCATTTCTTTTTTTATTTGAATCAATTGTATTGAAATAACATCGTCGTATTATTCTATGACTGATTTCTATCGCTAAAAATTATAAACACTACTGCAACATGCACTATATTTAAACTCAGCCCGCCAACGTATTTGCACACTTGTTGTTGTCCACAAGTTTAGACCACAACATGTCAAAGGTTTCCCATGCCTGTTTCAAAGCATGACCAGACCAATCCTCGAAATATATTTTTCTCGGCAAGCTTATATTTCCATTTTTGTACTCAAATTATCTTTCTTCTGATAATTCGGTAATTTTTATTGATCATCTTATCGGTGAAGTTGTCTGAATAGAATTAGTGAAATAGATGAAAATAAATTGATTGAATATCTGAATCATTAATCGATTGGGCCAATACTTAATGACAATCTAAATACATAATTCAAATAAAACAAGGTAGTTTTTTAATCTTCACTATAATTAAGTTAAATCATAACAATATTGTTTCGCCAACACGGTGGCTTCATTAGATGTTGATGATGAACTGATGTATTACATTTTGGACTGCTAGCATTTATCCTGAAGTGTATGGAAATGACCATAGAACACTTTTTCTTTGAAGTAGGGTAATGAATATAGAACATATTTCTCAGAAGATTCTTCGATGAGTTTTTTCCTGGCAAGCTTTTACTTTTATTTTGGTAATCGAATTATGTTTCTTCTGATAGTAATTTTTATTGCTCGTCATATCGGTGAAGTTATCTGAATAGAGTCAGTGAAAAAGATGGAAAAAATTCATTGAAAATAATTAAATTGAAAATAGCTATGAACACGTTTCTATGAGCAAGCTATCATAGACGTGTCTATAAATCAATAACATATTACATAAAAAGGTCTAATCTCGTTATTAGCTGAGTGTAGGTCGAGCCCTCACGTTCACTAGACCAATTGTAATGATATTTAATATTATGTTATTCCATATATCAATTACATAATAATAAGATCAAAAAACCGAACATTTAGGGAACTATAAGCCTTTTCCATGTATACCAACCACATATAAACTGCTCACTGGTATACCTACTAACACAATATATTAATAAGCAAGTGAAATAATGAAAAATCCTGGGTGCACAACTAAATGAATGTATCTCTGAAGATAAAGTAGCAGAAGAACTATTGATCACAAATCTTATTGTTACTAGATACGCAAGAAAAAAGCGTAAAATCACCTCGGATGCATAGATAGATTTCGGAAAAGCATTTGGTTACACACAATGCAGCTTCAAGTTCTTGATATGTATGGAATATGTGACTCCATCAGTGGACTGATTGAATCTATAATTAGCGAATGTCACATAACTAAACCATAAGAGAACGAAACTAGTTTCAAAAAACATCAGGGATTGAAACTAAACGCAATGTTGTTTTCCTCGTTAATTAACCCAATAATTGAGCTACTAAACAGTAGTATTGAAGGCTTTATTCATAATGCAAAAAGAAACGTTAAGATCGGACATCAGATCTACATGGATGATCTCACCATTTATGCCTCTTTCACTGAACAACTTAACGAATAACTGGAGATCGTGACAACCTTCAGTAATGCAATAACGTTGGAAATAGAAATAGAAAAATAGGCTATCGTATGTGTTATCTAGAAAAAGATCGGCAATAGCCCGAAACCTCTACAAGGACGGAAAACATACCAATATTAAATGAGAATAGTTCTTATAAATACCTTGCAAGTCAAAAAGATGTCGAAATGAACATCTTCGAGAAGAAGACGATTGCGAGGATAAGATGCTCCATTGTGTGGCCCAGGTAGTCAAATCAAATCTCAATTTGTAATCAATGTTTCTGGCTCCCAATATCTGGGCATTGCCAATACGGACCTACACCTTTGGAATTCTTACATGGTCATCCTCTGGATTTAGAGCAATGAACACCAAACTCAGGACAACTATAACTAAATATGGCTTCATCTGCTTTCCTATTGATATTGCAAATCTCTAGTCCTAGTTTCTCTAGTTCAACGAATAGATAGCTATGTCTTTAAAAAAAAGCAGATATTTTGACGTGAAAATTTCCGATTGAAAATTGGCGTTCTCCTTCAATATGTAGTAGAATAAAAGTGAAAAAAATCAAAATTTTTAATGAAGTTTTCCCGTTTGATTTGTCACATCTTCTTTTTTATATGGCTTTCAATCTACTCAACTTTTTTGTCTTCAGAATTTACTGATCCTGGTCTTAGTTATTTACACATCCAAGTAATCGAACCTTATTTTACATGTGATAACAACTATTGATATCGAGACACTTCATATTACAGATAAATGATTTAGAAAAGCAAGGCTCGTTAGCTCAGTTGGTTAGAGCTCCAGGCTAATACTTTCAAAACTGGCGGTCGTGGGTTCAAATCCCACACGAGCCCTTTTTCTCACATTACTGAATAAAATTTGTAAGTTATTTCAGTGAAATTCACATCGAGATATTTTCTATTCTGTTTGAATTCACCTATTACTCCATCCAATACGTTGAACTGCTGGATACTAATTTCGAATAAACTAGGAAATTTCGATTTATTACGTTTCAGTTTTTCACCCTCAATAGTTCATTCCCTTTCACTTCCCTCACCTCAGCTCACTCTTAAAACATTTCTCGTTTCGAGTGTTTTCATATTTTCTTCTTTCTCTTATTGATTTCATTAAACTCAACTCTATTTGGCATCCAAATTTTCGAAACCTAGTCTGAACTTTACGCATCAAAAATATCTATTTCTCCAAAAATTCCTGAGAGTAGACGCATAATTACTTGAATACTCAAAGGCAGGGGTCGGCAGCCTGTTTGTCCTTACAGCCGCAATACTAAATTTGAAATGAACAGGTATAGGCATAACAGGTATAAATAGGCATTGAAAAAACAGATTTTTTATACTTTCATTTTGTTGGTGTCATACATAATGATACAGTGTGAAACTTGGTTGTCCATATTTTCAGCTGATTTATTATAATTGGGGAAATAGTTAGAATTCCCGGTCCTCAAACAATTACCTAAATGTGAGTCATTTAGGTAATTCATTTCTCAAATATTTCATATTTGAGAACAGAGACTCGCAATAGCGCACATTTCCTTAAAAAAGGATACTTAATTTCATCGACTAAGTTCCAAAATAGTTTGTCATTACTATGTGCTTTTAAAATAATATCACTCTGCAAGTTCATCATTTTTGATTCTAGGTGTTCGATATTATGAAGCTCGGATAGATTGAAACCATTTCAAGGACATTGATTGGATTTATGAAAAATCTTCAAACCATCAAACTGAAACCATCTTCATTAACATTGATTGGATTTATGAAAAATCTTAGAACGGGTTCTAATGCTTCAAAATCTTCAAATCTAGAAGAAAACTCTTCTATCAGCTCATCTATAATTTCTTAATATTATGTAGCAGTAAAATTTTCATTATTCATATTTAAAGTGTCAACAGTATATATTATATTTGAAAAATGTGATAATGTTTTTTTCGATAGATGGGACTTCAACAACACTAACTTGCATTTAAATGCATTTACTGCACTAATGATGTCAGTGATATGCTGCTTTTTCTCTTGTATTTTTAAATTCAATTCATTCAACTTTGCAGTTATAGCTGGTAGAAATCCAAGGTCAATTATCCAATCTTTATTTTCTAATTGCTCGTAAAATTCGCCTCTTGGTACAATAAATTCCTTCATTTGTGGCAAAAGCATGATAAACTGCTCAAGTATTTTACCTCTGCTCAGCCAACTGACTTCAATATTTAAAAGAAGATTTGTGAACTTAACGTCCTCATCTGCTAGTAATTTAAACAATTTGTGTTGCGTAGCTCCCGATCTTATGGAATTAATAATTTTTGTTGCTATTCTAAATAAGTGTTGAAAACCAATTGTTTTTGCGCATAACATTTCCTGATGTGTAAGGCTATGATAAGAAATAAATTTCAGGATTAAGTTCTACATGAGCCAATAAATCATTTTTTCTTACCAGTCATTCTCTCCAGTTTTTTAAGAGCTTGTGCCCCGCCTGTTGTTATTGACGATAACTTTTGTACAGGTAATTTTACATCAGTTATTTTCTACTTCTACTTTCACTAATTCTACTTAAAAAAGTAGAAAAGATTTATTCTCCTCTGGTGCTTCCCTTTAATGGCAGAACTTTAGGAAATTCCATGTTACAAATTTACCACTTTTGTGGTAAGATCAGAAAATACCATGTTCACGCAAATTGCTAACTGTGATATATTTGTCTCATCTGTCGATTCATCCATCTGTAACGAAAAAAAATACAATTTTTTAAATCATTTGCTAAGTCTGCCTCAAAATTCTTCGCAAATACTTAATTCTTCTAATAACAGTTCGTGCTGATACCTAATTGCAACTTTTTATAGCTGAAACTATTTCCTTTTTATTTTTAAATTCTTCAAAAAGCGAATCAGCAGATTCTAACATGGCTTCGTTCACTAATTCTCCATCTGCAAATGGTTTTTTATTCTTAGCTAGTGAATGCGATATTTTATATGACTCGATCGTTGCTGCTTTATGTTGTTGTAGTGGTTTAGTAAAAAAAACTTTGCTGGTTAGATTTTAAATGAATAATTTTTTTTGCTCTAATTTCACAGTTCATTGAATAATCACTATCAAAATTTTTATGAACGGTCTTGAAATGTCGTTCAGTATTACTTTTCTTGGGAATCGCAACACTATTATTACGTAACAAACAAATGAACTTCCCTTTGTAATCGACGAAACAATATATTCATCGTTAAAATAATATATTCTTTTCCTTTCACATTTATCCATGAAGGGTTTTGAAAGAAAATAATTATCTTTTCTTTTAACTACTTCCTGTATATCGCCGTTTGACAAGGGTAAGTAAATGGCTATCATACATTTATATTAGTTCAGCGAGGGCGCATTAAAAATCGATCGGGGGAGCCATAGCGCCCGCGGGCTCTGCGCTGCCTACCCATGCTCTAAAGTAGTCTAAAGTAATCCAAAACTGAGGTGGTTATGATATAGAAATCTGAACCCCGGTAATCTGAAGGTAATCTGCTTCCCCTGTAGCTCATATTCTCAGTTTATTGCTTCGGAAAATTTCTTGTTTCAATTTAAGTTCAATACCGAATTACGTCAGATGCAGTTGTTTTAGAAATTTAATAATTTTATAGACAATTTTGAGCGCGTAGAGAACAGCTTTACAGATTTCCTCACTGAATAAAAACATAGGAAAAATTATTGGATTGGGATATTTGGAAACAAAGCGCTCGTGAAGGATTTGAACTCACGACCGCCAGTTAATTTTTTTCAAAAAAATTTATTTACAGAAATATTCACAAAATGAAGATTTCACATGATTTATGTGGAAATTCATCCTTGGAAATCCCAAAATAATTACATAATTCATTTTACACTATATATTCATTATACACTATAGACATATAATTTTTACAATTCCTATACAATTAACATTTTCTTTCGATTTTGACGAACATCATCTTAATATATATGAGGAATCATATAATTGGCCAAGCAACGGGGATGAGGGATTTTAGACATTATTTATTTCAGCAAAGCGACTGTGCCATTAGAAGATAGGTATTACTTTATACTTTATTTTCGTTATAATTTGGACATGCAAATATCGATAATAAATTTTTTATTGACGATTCATACCGAAAAATCGTATTTTTTTTAGTTTTTTAATCATAACATTGGAAATAATCATGTAAAGTCAATGACATCAATAAATATATATTTAAAGCGATTCAATAACGTACAAAATGAGCCGTCACTCGACCCAGTCGAATCATTAGATGTGGAGAAAATTTGGATAAACTCGAAAATTTATTATTTTATTTTTTTATTATTTATTATGGATGAACTCGAAAATTTATTATTTATTCAACTAATTGATTACTTCGTTAATTTTCATCTTACCTGGCTGCGATTTGGTGGAAAAGTAACACTCTTGGCATTCTTCAAGTTCAAGAAAAAAATTGACAATGATGGCATAATAATTTTTTGCGTAATTGGCGGTTCCAATAAATCAATGCGCTTAATTGAAAAATGTCTGGATGACACACGAGTCGTCCAATTTGGTTAGTTAAAACGGATTTCGAAAATATTTTGAAAATTTTCGATAAAATATAGTAAAATACACGAAAAAGGGTGTAAACATGAGTCCGAACGGATAAGCGCTAGTAAAGGAAGCAGTGGAGAAGGAGACTTGGACAGTAGGAAAGGCAAACATGATGTAAAACAAGGCGCGCTATATTTTTAGGTTTTTTTTAGGTTAATGCGTTTATTGATTTTGTTATTATTATAATTATTCGATTGTATTGGCATTTTACATCCCTATATATATATATATATATATATATATATATATATATATATATATATATATATATATATATATATATATATATATATATATATATATATATATATATATATATATATATATATATATATATATATATATATATATATATATATATATATATATATATATATATATATATATATATATATCTTGAAATTGATTTATTGCCTGTTTAAGATATTTATTTTGAAAGTTTTTAGCAATAACAGGCTTTTTTAATATGAAAAAGTTTGTTTTTGTTGACGTTTCGTTGTTATATTACAACTTCGTCAAAACTAATGAATAATTGAATTTATGAGTTACTATGGATATCAAATGTCAAACTTATTTTTTTAGAAAAATCAAATTAGTTTTTTTGGATCTTCACTCATTGATTTTCATTATCAGGTCTTCTTCACCATGAGGAAACCTCTGAAAAACTCATGGTAAGTCAGGTGATTCTATTACATATAGTTTTTTATATACTTATCCAGAATGTATATATTGTTCGTTTATGTGTGTGAAATTGAAGGTAGATCTGGAAAAAATGAGTTGTGAGATGTGATGTTTGGTAATTATTGTGTGTTTATTTTACGAGTGTTATTTGTGAGGTTTATTAAGTTGTTGTAGATGGAATTTAGATGTTTAATGTATGTTCTTTCATTTACTGTGTTTTCTAAATTTTTACGAATGTGTAACATTTCTAAAATTTCTCTACTTTTTTTGTCCCTTTCAATTGCCAAAATTTTCGTATTTTTGTAATCAAAATCATGTTTTTCTGTTATTTTATGTTTATGTAAGGCAGTGATTTGAGTTTTTGCGTATTTATGCGCTTTGATTCTCTCTTCGAGATTCTGTGCTGTTTGTCCGATATAGCTTTTATTGCAATTGTTACACGGAATATTATAAACTGTATGAGTTGTTCTCTGAGTTACAGTTTTACTTTTCAATTTTGTATATATTTCTTCGATTTGATTTTTGGCAGTATGTGCTATTCTTAAATTATAAGGTTTTAATATTTTAGCAA